GTCTGAATGGAAAATCTTGTATTGCATGAAGTGAAGACAGCGACAGTTACTCATGAAGACAAACAAGATGTCCAAATATTCTTTCAAAAAGAGACGGAGGGGAGGAGGATATTTAAATTGGCTACTGTGTCACAGCCCTCCAACAGCCCCCTTCTCTCTCTCCCTCTCGCTCTCTTTCTCTATTTTCTACGCCCATGCACAATTATATTAAGTAGGGCCAATAGGAACAAAGGAGAGGCAGGACCGAGGCTCCACCTCTCCCCGGCTGCTTTCCTCTGAGCTTTTTACATGTACATAATCCCTGAGTTGACCCAGAAAATAGGCAGTCGTTTCAAGATCTGATGCGGCAGTCTTTGTGCACACCGTCCCCGCCTGAGCATGAAGCGTAACTCAGTGGAATAACCCAGTGTAATCCGGAGAGGAGCTTCGCCCTGCAGAGGAACACTGCCTTTTTACGCACAGGAGCTGACGCCAAGTCGCGCAACTTTGTGGAAACGTAGAGGAAAAGGGTGAGTGTTTGGATTCTGTGTATTTGTAACGGAGACATTTGGCTTTTCTTTTTTCTGGTCCGCGGTGGTCTCAGGGGCTGCTGCTGCTCCATTGTTTGCATTTCCCCCCTGGTTCAAACTCGACAAACGGATCTTGTTAGTCCGCAGCTTTTCGGGGGAAACCATTAAAGCAGTCGGGGTTAGTGCGCGATCGCAGGAGAGCTGGAGCCCTTTGTTGAATTTTCTGCCTTGTTAGAAATGTGGTGATTCAGCTGTTGTGTGGAGATGTTGCATGATGTCAGTGTTCTTTGTTGCAACCTTACGTGCGTTAAATATAACCGATTTCCTCACTGCCTCAACTGGCGTGCAACACAGAAGATTGGGATTTAAAGCATTACGACATGCACGCGGTTTTTTTGTCTCCTGTTTTGTCGATCCCGTTCGTGCACGAATGATCCCAGCTGTTAACACGCACCCAAACAATGTATGTGGACCTGTGATGTCAAAACCTGGGGCGTCCATAACCCACAGTCACAAAGAGAGGAGGTTGTTTTAGGAAAAGGGGGTTCAGTGCACGAAACAATGCTGCAGATATTTGATTTTCCGGGAGCGTTTTAAATGGTTTAACTTGAGGTGGGAGTGTGTCGTTACAGGGAAAATGTGCCTTTGTTACAGGTGAAGCTTGTGGTCACCATAGAAAAGGTCACTTGTCTGGAAAAGGAACTGGTTTGAAGCACAGACACACGTGACAACATTAACCTCATTGTTGTGGATCTGTAACCAGTTTGATACTGAATCACATGGACGTGTAAATATGTGTAGTCATGTCAGCCGTAACCAATGTTTTTTTACTGATCTCATAACTGTGTCTCCTCCGCTCTCAGACAGGAGGCATGGCAGACCATCTGATGATGCCCATGAATCACAGCTCAGCGGGCGCCAGTCTCCACGGTTACAGGATGGGCATGAACGGCGGCCTGCAGGCGGGTCACCAGCAGCATGCCAACCAGCAGGGCATGCGGGCGCTGCCCAACGGCCAGATGATGCACTACGGTGGCGCCCAGGCCAACATGGAGACCGCCATGAGGCAGCGCCAGGGCATGGTGGGCGGACCCATGAACGGACAGCTGAACGGGGCCCAGATGGGTCACCACCAGATGACCTCTGGTAACATGATGTACAACGGCCAGCCCCAACAGCAGCAGCATCATCCCCAGCAGCAGCAGCATCATATGCACCCACAGCAGCACCAGCAACAAGCCCAGCATCCGCAGCAGCAGCATCCACATCCGCAGCAGCAGCATCCGCAGCAGCAGCAGCATCCGCAGCAGCAGCATCCACAGCAGCAGCATCCACAGCAGCAGCACCCCCAGCAGCAGCAGCAACAGTTCATGAATGGAGGGTTAACGTCCCAACAGCTCATGGCCAGCATGCAGCTGCAGAAACTCAACACCCAGTACCACGGACACCCACTGGGGCCTATGGGTGGTAACCACATGGGGCCCACCACACAGTATCGTGTGAACCCTGCTCAGCTGGCTAACATGCAGCACATGGCTGGGCCGGCCCTGGCACTGAACGGCATGGATGCGGATATGATTGACGAGGAGGTCCTGACCTCGCTGGTCATGGAGCTGGGCCTGGACCGGGTCCAGGAGCTGCCAGAACTCTTCCTGGGCCAGAATGAGTTTGACTTCATTTCAGACTTTGTCAGCAAACAGCAGCCCAGCACCGTTAGTTGCTGAGAGGACCTGATTTGCAAAGAGGCACAAACGGACACAGGAGAGTGAGAATCGTCCAGGATGGATAACGGGTGCTCGTCTCTTCAATTTTAATTTTGGAGGCTCCTCCCTTTACAACTAAAGCGAGTTGAGGCGCAGGATGCACAGAAGAGAACTTTGGATATCCGTGGTGAATGCACAGTCTCACACGTGCTTGTGGCCAGGAGGTGGCTGGCGTCAAGGCCTGTTGTTCCACTTCTCCCATTTCCTGGACATGAATGTACTAAATGCTGAAATTCTCTTAAAAAGCCACTTTGAACAATGCTTTGACACTGTGTAGCTTCCAAGACTCCACGACAGTTTACCAGTAAAAAGGCGTATTTATTTATTCCTGACTGAGAAAACTGATATAAAGAACAACCACGGTCTCCATTATGGGAACCCAGTGGCTTTAATGATTTTTATTTTTATTTCCTGAGAGTGAATGGGGGAGGAAATTAATTTAATTTCCCATTCTGTTTGGCCTAATATTAAAAATGAAATGGTAATCTAAAAGAAGCCTCTCTCAGTAAAGACAGACAACACAAGTACATGTTATGTCATTTGAATGGGAGTCTCATTCAGATTTTAAAATGGTTCACTTTCGGTAAAGTGCTGCCTTTTTAGATGTGATGTTCTTGAAAATCTACTGCTTGTACTGTATGAAGCTGTAAAACTCCAACATGTCCACACTGTTGTGTTCTATTGGAGCTGTAGAACCGCCTTAATCACGCAGATTCTTATTTATTGGTTGTTTATATTGTCCCCTTTTTTTGTGGTCAAGATGGGGGGATGGTCTTTGTGAAAGGGGTTTTGAGGATCAATAAAGATGGCCTGGTTAGAAGTGTGGCCTGCTTTTCCATTCATTGCACAGCTCTTCCCCCTGGGCAGTGGAGGGCCAGCTAAGTGCTTAGGTCAACCTGTGGGTGAAGGGAAACCTCCGTTTCTTTCAGGTCTGGGATGGAAATGTTAAAGCAGATGTAATATTAATGCTTTTTGAAGGAGGGATATCTGCTGGGCTCTAAATCTCCCAGGTTTTCATTAGCCCATCTCCTGTCTTTAAATGGAGGAATCTCTGTCTGTGTTTGATTTTCTCCAAAACCGCTCTAACGAACAAGCTTGGTCATTGGATGCAGAGTTTCATTCATCCAAGTGTTTGGACCAAAAAAATGACATAGATTCCTCCTTCCTCAGCTATTAAGCTACACATGGTGTTTCTCTGGTAACCAACCATTTGGTGATATCATGAAAAGGTCATGCTCAGCTTGACGGGTGCTGTTTACTCAATTTTCCATCTCTATCGCTAAAAAGGCACAGTGTCGCTTACAGGAGCGTGTTTGACACGTGGTGATAAGAACATAAAAACAGCAGGCGTATTAAGTCAGTGTACATCTGATATGACATCCGGGGTGATATTCAAATGGGACTTATTTCGGGTGCGGACGCCGTGCACTGACATTAAAGGTGGTAAACATTCCTGTAAAGGTTGTTGGTTTCACAGAAGCAGTGTTTAATTTGAAAGACACTCGTTTCTCTGCGGCGCCCTGAACATTGTTTCTACGCTGTGTGTAAAGAGTAGTGTGAGTGGTGGGGGGGGGTGACCAAACAATGCGTACCTTGATGGGGGTTAAGTGACTTAAAGCTTGTAAGCCCTGGCTCAAAGACAGAAGCCTCTTTTATGACCAGCTCAAGGCGGCAAAGTTCTGCCATTATTCCGTCCCGCCGTTCTCTGTGATACAAAAGTAGGAACAGGGACAGTGGAGGGGTATAGTTGTTCCACCTTAATGCCGACAGCGGAGGTAGTCAGAGACTAATCAATGTCTGTGTAAGTGGGACAGACGCTGTTGTTTTGCTCATCACGCCAGCATGCTATGTAAAATCACACTGGGGAGGCAATATGGTGGCTTGTTTGTGTCAGTGTAAACAAACAGGAAGCTTCAAGTGTTGTCTTTCTTACTGGGATGTAGTGGAATCTGTAGAAAAGAGGATTCGTGCAGCTTTTTTCCCAGGTCACCCAACAGATGGCCAGATAAAACAAGGCTTTTGCCATTAAACAATAACAAAATCATGGAACAAATGACCAATCCACAACAACCCCCCCTCACACCACAGCAGTTGCAGGAGCAAAACAATTTTCCCCATCTAATTGCATTCATTATGAATTGAGGGTAAAGAGATTCTCTGCGGTGGGTGAGTTTGTAGGGTTTGTTTTTTGCCTGCGGGCCATGAAAACGCCTGATTAAGGTCATGTTGGGAATGTCACCGCCACATTTAGCTTTTCACATTGTCAACAAAGGCATCTTCAGCAGCATCATGAGTAACAAGGGGGAGAAAAGAGAGCGTGTCATTCCAAACCAAAAATGGCGTTTGCACAATTCCTGAATCAGCTCTGCTCTTATAGCGGCTGAAACTATTTTTCAATTGTCCAATTGTGTTAAAGGCCAATTTAAAAAAGGTAACAGGGAGGATCTGATCTGAAATAAGATGACCTAAATATGTGCTTGATTCAAATAGTAAAAAGGGTGTGTGCGTGTACATGTCCTTCTAAGGGTGCGAGGACATTTTGCTGTGTCCTCCAAAAGTCGTTTTGAGGGTTAAGACTTGGTTTATTGGGTGAGAATTGGGTTCAGGCTGTAGAATAAGGGTTAGGGTTAGGGTTTGGCAAATGGTTGTGATGGTTACATTTGGGGTTTAGCGATGCGTTATGTTGCAGAGCGTCCTCACAATTATATAAAGAATGCCTGTGTGTATTTTCTTGGCTTGACACTATCTAGAGAATGGCTCATAAGTAGGCCAACAGCCTTGGCACGGCGCTCGGTAACGGTTGCGGGTCCCTTGTCCGGTGCCAATCTGGTGAGATGGTCTTCTGGTGCGTGGCACATGGGGCACACTGGCACACGGTCAGAACTCTGTCTCCTCGTATATCTCATAATTGCATGCTACACCACAAGCTCCTTGTTTAGCCCCAATTAAATGCAGAGGTTTCGTTGCCTGATGGTGACTCCATAGGGCGAATGGATAAACACGCCAAACAGCCCCTGTTTGCTCTCCCAATCCCTTGTTATGACTGTCGCTCTGAGGCCGGTCTAGACGCAGGCTAAGCAGGGTGGGACACTCAGAGACATTTACAGTTACTTCTGTTTTTTTTTCTCTCGTTTCTCAGCCCACCCACAGGAACTGCTAGAACACAAGGCTGCGTCTTCCTGTGGCAGCTTTTCTCGATATAACTCACGGACCGAAAGCCACATTCTGAGAGGCAACGTGAAAGAGACCAAAGATAAGAAATGTAAGGATTTCTCCAGGTTACATTTAGAAATTAGGTGGAGGGTTTTTTTTTTTGTTCTACTCTTCGGGGATTTCTCAGCTGGGTTTTCCCATAATGCTTTTATGACTCCATCGAAAACCCTTCAATAAACATTATGCACATACCTCTCTTCTGCTCAATATCTGTAAATGAGCTGTACTACTCTGTGCACTTACTACTTTATAGTCTGCTCTTTCCAGGCTCTGGTACAGCTGGTGCCAAGCCTGAGCCCGAGGTAATCTCAGCCACTAGTGCCGGCGACAGATAGGTGGTCATTTGCTGTTGTCACGCATGGCCAGGTCTTCACATGCACACGCACAGCATCAGCACACAAGCTGATCAAACAGGCAGACAGGGATGCCTCAGTATCAGTGTGGAGCCAGGCGAAGATAAAGGGTTTATGTCTCAACTGTGGTGGCTGTGATCCTTACACCAGCACCTACAGTGCGTTTGCAGACTTAAGTGACAGATCTGGAAGAAAATGCAATTTATATCCTGGAGATTTTGTCAAAAAGACTAAATGTGGGTGTTACCTCTCATTTAATTTTGAGAAATTGTCACTTCAAGAATCTCCCCAATGACTGTAAAGCAAAAGAGTGAAATACACAGTGAAAGTGAGAATTGCACTTGAGTTTCCCAGTTGAGAGGATGAGTTATTATCGACAACAAAGGGCACGTTTCTGTCTGTCTGTGAATATTGTGTGAGGAGAGGAAAGCGTGTTTGAACTCGTCTGCTTTAACAAGAGCGTTGGGAGGTTTTTGTCACGTTTTCGTGGTGATGTTGTGTGTGGCGCCGTGCATGTGTGTGCGTGCGCTGGCAGGGGGTAAATAAACAGCAGATCCCTCGGGGGCAGGGTTCATCCAGTGGACATGTTGCTCAAGCCGAACTTCCTGATTTTCTAGCTGAACAGTCGGCCTTCTCCACTTGACTTGTGATGTTATTGGACGCTGCTCTCGCCCTCCACTCCTTTAAGTTTCCCCCAGCTCACACATCACAAGATGTTTCAATGCAACAGGCCTCCTCTGGATTCTGTCAGATTCTGCTTCTGGGCTTTTTTTAGTAGAAGTAAAGCTCAGCGACTTAGCTTGTAAGCGACAACAAAAAAGGAAAAAACCCTCCTCTTCCCCACACGAGGGAAAAAGTAATATAACCACATAACACTTTCTTTCCTGGAGCTGCATAGTTTAGCTGTAATTGTTTTGTTTTCCATATGAATCCAGCTGAAGAGGCTTTTAAATGCAGTTATATACCTGCGGCCTCCAGAGGAAAGCGGCTGGTCCTGGCATGTCAGGGCAGGTGACACAGAGGTTGCTTAGTGACTAGCAGCTCCTCCTCTGACCGCCGCCACCCCCCAAATCTGGGGTTGAATGGTTTGCCAGCTCTTTGAAGTAAAAACGTAGGGGGGGTTGTAAATAATTTATTTTGCAGCGCACAGCTGACACGTCTCCGTCGAGGCAGCTCAAGCACATCGAGGTGTTCCAACAATGTCTAAAGGTGGTAAATATTTAAGGGTTGTGTGATTTACACGGTTGAGCCAAACTGAGCAGGGATGAGGTTTTTTCACAGCAGTGGCAGAAACTAAACCCTGGTGTTAGCTCAAAGCATCGAGAGACCTCCAGGCATGTTGATAAAAACGTTATTCGATATGTTTTTTCAAATTTAATTGATTTTTATCGTGTAATTCACACCAAATATAATCTCAGACCGACTTTAGTGTTTGGCATTCCAATGTGTCAAAACCCTGCTGAGCAGATTATAAAGAAATGCTAACATTTATCAAGGGGCAGACACAGGAACAGCAACACTGTGATGCAATGTCAAATAATCTAATAAGAAACTGTGAAGCTGATATTGTACTTTTAAAGCTCTAAATGTGATTTTCTTTGTGCTGAAACTGTGTCAGGAAGGGTGTTAAATCAACCACAGTGTTCCTGTTATTGCACCTCACTGTTCAACATAATGTAGACTTGTATGTGACGGCGTCAACAAACATGATAAGTCACAGTTACCATGAGCAGGGAAACAGTTCGGCTCAGCGCAGGAGAATTACAGGTTCGTAGGTCAGAAAAGAGGGAAACCGAATTAGTACAAGCTATGTTCTGTACACAGTGTCTTTGTGTGCAGGGCTTTAAGCCTGAGTGCTAATCTGGTGACAGTGGCAAGCACATGCTACCAAAGACAGAGTAACAGGCGGGTGGAATTCATACAAGAGAGCAGTTCTTGTCGGGCTTTACAAGCGTTATCCTGTTGGTGGAATCTAAATATACTGAAGAAGCAGCGTGTTTATGCCAAGAAAAGTCATGTGCACGCTTTTCTAAATTGTTTTTGCATTGATGTGAGATTTCTTTTCCTCTTCATTGTTAGATTATACCCTGCTACGCTGCCATGTGACCAATATTACTTGCAAGACAATCCTGACACGAGTTGGCTCGCACCATCTGTAGCTCGTGGGGTCCGAGGGTGTTGGGGTGAGGGGGGGGTTGAGACAGAGTTCTCAGCAGATATGATCTCCCAACTGAGAGTCACCGGAGACCAGCGA